ACCCAAGTTCTATTCCAGTTCTCTCACCATCCCTTCCTTATCCCTACCCCGAACCTCTACCTGATCCCTACCACCACCCTACCCTATCCTTAATCATGTACCCCATCTTCATCCCCACCACATACCTAGCCAAAACCCCATTCCCCACACCTACCCCAAACCCCATTGAAGTGTCTCCTAAAGGCCTGCACCACTAACGGGACAATTCCCCTCACCCCTCTTCAGCATACAGTATAAATAGGAGTCCCTGACTGGCAGGCTGTCAGTGTGTGTAAGCTCACTGCTTGGTTTGGAACTTGAGGTAGAGTGGAATAGTAGAGAGGCAGGCCTGTACTGAAGGGGGCACCTAGGTACCCACCGTAGGAGGATACACCAATAGAAAGACAGGGGCAGAGGAGATGTCTGGAGAGGGCTGGACCGGACCCTAAAAAGCCAATAATTTAAACACCTATACTGGATATAACAGCCGAATTGTCTAAGGGTTATTCATATTCGTAACTTACCCCTAGGAGGATACTACTATCACGGAGGAACAAAAGTAGGATTATATCATCATCTACAATAAGAATCACTGGAGATTGATCTGAAGATTCCTTATCACAGATCTATCACACGTATAATTATATACGGGAGTTTACTGTGCCTGGTTCCACCTGGGGCAGTAGCCAACATTACTTCAGTGTACCTCAAAAGTGAAATTCAGATGTGAGGAATGAAAACGTGATAAATTGGCAGGTGTAGTGTTTTAACTTAAACTGTTCCTTACGACAGTCTTAGAGATATATGATCTGGACGTTACATATCTGGTGTGTCTGTCGGGGGATCCTGCCAGCTAACAGTGATATTAATATTACATGCCTGGCTGATAAAGCTGCTGCTACTCACTAGTACCTGTGTGTATCCAGGTAAACACTTGACAGCTTTCTTATTCTCACCTGGATGTTTATGAATGAAACTATCAGGTATATACTTGTTAATAGATTCAGAAAACTTTAAAAAAAAATTGCTGCATTGTCAACCAATAATATCACCTGAAATCTCAATAGCCTTTGACAAAAAAAAGTGATATATGTTTATATACAAAACTGAAAACTTTGCTGATTGGTGAAAATTTCCTTTGCAGTAGTAACAGGTAGTTTCTATTGGGATACATGGTAACAGTGTGGTACAGAACACGGGTTCCTTCAGGAGTCTGTTTTCTTCTTTGTAGAAGTGATTTTAGCTTGAGATTTTTCTTTGTGATATTATAATACTACAGAATCTACCAGAAGCATATTTCCGGGATGATGATATATATTTGGGTTCTCCAGTGCTAAAATAGTTAAAAGTCTGCTCCATCAAACTTGTTTATGATATTTTCCCCCTCCCATGTGTTGGATCTTGTCAAGCCATAGTGAATAGGTACAAGGGAATGTTTGTTAGTAGATCAGCTACCAGCTCTTCACCAGCTGATGTCTACTGATCACAAAACATTTTGGCTTACCGTTCACAACAAATCACGCTAGAACAATAATAGATAAACAAAGGTAAGTAATGCCAGTATTCAACATTGGAGTTGAATTTTGAAAATATCCAAGAAAGGAAAAGGAGAATTTTCATTTAATACTTGTGATAAAACAAAAGAATTCAAAATGCAGAATGTTTGGATTCTAGTGTTAACTCTTACAGCAGTATTTCAAATCTGTGAATTTAGAAAAGACAGACTTGGACGAAAAATACTTCGGACTCAGCGTTGTAAGTACACCTTTGTGGTCAAAGAAGTGGATGCAGGGCACTGCCCAACGTCCATTCCTCCTATCCAACCAGTTGACCAAATGTCGGGGGACATGAATACCCTTATAAGCCGACTGCAACAGGTTGAGAAACAACTGGACGGGGAGATGTTGAAAAACGATAATTTAACTGAAAGTATTTCAAAACAAGAGCTGACACTTAAGAAAGCAGACTACATGCTAGAACAGTATCGGTCAAATTTTTCCAATCTCTTTCACATAATCAACCATTTAGAGCGAAGCTTACACACACAGCGGTCAAGCTATAGGGATCTGGAGAAGAAGGTATCCAGTGTTGTCCTTGATGTGTTGGAGATGAATAACATACTGACCACTAAGGTCAGTCCAGGTGACATCAGCAACCCTATTCTTAAGGATGTACAGGTGCAAAGCGTCTCAAAAATACACAACTGTGGCCTCACCAACACCGACGCAACCTTCGTAGGTAAGTAAAAACTGACCATCGGTCAACTTTGGTCAATCTTTATCATTTCAGTACAACTATATTACAGAATGGTCAATGATCGCTGAATTTGTTTATTTTTCACATATGATGACCGATAGCTAGGAAACTACCTGTCATTTTAATCGGAGCTACAAGATGTATTACTCTCGAGTAGTGAAATGGCTTTATACGAACATACAGTCTGCAAATATCAATCATGATCTTCAAAAAAGATCTTTTTCAACACTGAAGCTGAGGTACCCTACATATTTATATTTAACAGTTATAAAGATATAACTCAGTAATCAATCAACCATAATGGTCAAGAATTTCCTTCAGTTTAATACTGAAACTGGTAACCTATATTGTTATACATGTAGCACCGTCACCAGCAACCAGGCTGCTTGATTGGTAAGACTGAGTGTCTAGAGCTGGGGAGTCGCTGGCTCAAATCAAAGTCTGCTTGTGCTCACCATACTATCAAGTCTGAGTCAGTCGACCATGATGGTCAAGAAAGTTTTTCTGGCAGTCCATTCAACCATGTGTGACCCTATCACATGTCACTTTGTCCCTTTATATTGTAGCGTGTCAAATATAACACAGACTAGGTATACCTTGATGAATAATTCATAAGCACACTATTAAATATGTAGACCAGAAGACTGCTTCACAGATTTACAAAGACTTTATGTTAATGAGTTATACCCACTGTTCACTGAGGAATGTTCCACCAGTCACCTACCAACAACAGTGTATGCTTGAATTTCAGCAATGACGTACAAAACCTTGTCTTTTAAATTAAATTAATACACTAAACTAGGTCTTTAATCACATTGATACCCTATGTCTATCTTGGTGATACAATGAACAATTTCTCTCTTGACCAAACCAATATATATCTCCATGTATAAACCAAGTCACTATCTCATTAATACACTAAATAATTGCTATCTTGGTGATACACTTAACCATGTACATTCCAGAGACACCAAACCATGTATACTCCAGTGACACCAAACCATGTACATCTCAGTGTCACCAAACCATGTACATACCAGTGACCCCAAACCATGTACACTCCCGTGACACCACACCATGTACACTCCAGTGACAGCAAACCATGTACATACCAGTGACACCAAACCATGGACACTCCCGTGACACCACACCATGTACATCTCAGTGTCACCAAACCATGTACATCCCAGTGACACCAAACCATGTACATCCCAGTGACACCAAACCATGTACACTCCAGTGACACCAACCCATGTACATACCAGTGACACCAAACCATGTACGTACCAGTGACACCAAACCATGTACATCTCAGTGTCACCAAACCATGTACATCTCAGTGTCACCAAACCATGTACATATCAGTGTCACCAAACCATGTACATACCAGTGACGCCAAACCATGTACACTCCAGTGACACCACACCATGTACATCTCAGTGTCACCAAACCATGTACATACCAGGGACACCAAACCATGTACATTCCAGTGACACCACAACATGTACATCTCAGTGTCACCAAACCATGTACATCCCAGTGTCACCAAACCATGTACATCTCAGTGTCACCAAACCATGTACATATCAGTGTCACCAAACCATGTACATACCAGTGACGCCAAACCATGTACACTCCAGTGACACCACACCATGTACACTCCAGTGACACCAACCCATGTACATACCAGTGACACCAAACCATGTACACTCCCGTGACCCCACACCATGTACATCTCAGTGTCACCAAACCATGTACATACCAGTGACACCAAACCATGTACATACCAGTGACACCAAACCATGTACACTCCCGTGACACCACACCATGTACACTCCAGTGACACCAAACCATGTACATACCAGTGACACCAAACCATGTACACTCCCGTGACACCACACCATGTACATCTCAGTGTCACCAAACCATGTACGACTCAGTGACACTTAACCACGTCTCACCCTGAATACACTAGACTGGCTACCAGCCCTAAGTTTTAATGAAGAATTTCCCAGCTGCATTTTACCACTAGCTTATTTCCTGCAAGCGATCAAAATTAATAGATTTTTTTTTTCTTAATTTTTCAATATTCTAGAGACAGGGGCCAGTCTATGAAAACACTAGAACGTCTATCTCTGTGATACACCCAACCATGCCTGTATAGCTATCTGAATATACACTATATCGTCTGGTAAAATGATACTGTAACGTCTCTCAGTATGTGAAGGGGAATTCATTCACACTAAATTTCTATTTTATACTTAAATTATATACTTGGAAACAATTGTGTATACCTCTTCAAGCACACTGTAACTTTGCATCTTTAAATCAAAACATAATACTTCCCTTACTAAAACCTGTAACACCTATATTTCAATATACATGTATAGCTTTCCTTTCCTTTTTATAGAATACAGGAATATATTAGTTTGAAAGTTCAATTTTATCTCTATATTCAATTTATTGTTATTTATTTAAATTTCATGGTAAACCTGAAGTCTGTTATCTTTTTCTTTAAATTTCAATCCTGGTCAAATTTAAGTAGTGTGTATTACCAGAGGGAGTATACATGCCGTTATCACAGCCATCGTAAATGCCTATCTCGGCTAGACTACTCAACAGGTGCTTAGGGCTGAATTAGCCTTCTTGTAAGAGTACTATGGGAATGCATGATTACCAGGAACAAAAAATAAATAAAAATTCAATGTTTCTTTCTCTTTTACTGATAACATTTTTTCCTAAAGTTAACTTTTGTTCCTTCAACATTTCTCTCCTCACATAATGCATGTATATGGTTGAAAAAGTAAGATAATTTTAACATTGAAGACTTGCTATCTTCAGAATCGTGAACAACATTTAGGGTTGGTTTGGGGGTCACATACATGTATTTTTCAAATTGAATTTGAGAATCAATAATTGCTAAAGAATATAATGAAGGTTGACTTGTAAAGTATTTTTCAAGAGTCAGTTGAGGTTTTGGAGTACCACAACATGATATAAGGGTGAAACTATTCCGCATCATACCCCGATGACTAGTCACAATGTGTAGGTGTCTTGTATCATGAATGGGCGACTTGTTTCAGCGTCAGTTGTTAGGAATGTTCTAGTTCAGTTAGGAAAATTTTCCGCTGGATAAAGTCTGGCAAAGTAAGTTAATTATACAAAGATATATTTGCTACATATAATGTACAGTACTGAGTTCTTCACTGATAATGTACAGTACTGAGTTCTTAACTGATAATGTACAGTACTGAGTTCTTCACTGATGATGTACAGTACGGAGTTCTCCACTGATGATGTACAGTACTGAGTTCTCCACTGATGATGTACAGTACTGAGTTCTCCACTGATGATGTACAGTACTGAGTTTTTCAAGTACTGATAATGTACAGTACTGAGTTCTTCACTGATGATGTACAGTACTGAGTTCTTCACTGATGATGTACAGTACTGAGTTCTCCACAGATGATTTACAGTACTGAGTTCTCCACAGATGATTTACAGTACTGAGTTCTTCACTGATAATGTTCAGTACTGAGTTCTTCAAGTACTGATGATGTACAGTACGGAGTTCTCCACTGATGATGTACAGTACTGAGTTCTCCACTGATGATGTACAGTACTGAGTTCTTCACTGATGATGTACAGTACTGAGTTCTTCACAGATGATTTACAGTACTGAGTTCTCCACAGATGATTTACAGTACTGAGTTCTTCACTGATAATGTTCAGTACTGAGTTCTTCAAGTACTGATGATGTACAGTACGGAGTTCTCCACTGATGATGTACAGTACTGAGTTCTTCACTGATGATGTACAGTACTGAGTTCTCCACAGATGATTTACAGTACTGAGTTCTCCACAGATGATTTACAGTACTGAGTTCTTCACTGATAATGTTCAGTACTGAGTTCTTCAAGTACTGATGATGTACAGTACGGAGTTCTCCACTGATGATGTACAGTACTGAGTTCTTCACTGAGAAATATGTGAAGTACTTTTTTATGAATGATAATTAATAGATGATACAGGTACACAAAAAACAATGCATACGTGATAATATTCAGGCATTCAAAAGTATTAGAGAATTCTAACTAGATATAAGAATGAAAACTTCAACAGAATCCACATGTATAGTGTATAAGGTAGTATCTTATTCTAAAGAAAGATAACTCACAATAATCACAGCTATAATGTGTAATGGATATAACATTATGAAAATCACTGATATAATATGAAAGGCAGCATCTATCCTCAAGGAGATACGTACTAAACCACAGCCATAGTGTGTAGGGTAGTGTGTATTATTACAGGTATTATGTGTATGGTAGTATCTATCCTGGAGGGAGGTAACTCTAACACAAATCATAGGTATGATGTTAAGGGTAGCAACTGTCTTAAAGTAAACCTTAATATCTATGAAATCGATTAAACTATTAAGCCTAAAGAATGACTTACCTGTTCTGTGTTATGATCATCATAAGAAAACATAACATATCATTACAGATAGCATCACCACAATTACATTTGACTTACTGTATAAGCAATACCATTTCTCGAAATTAATAAAACTTAATTAAGTCCCCCAAACATGGTTTGGGACTTATTGTTTTTATTCCTCTGTGTTCGTTTTCTTCTTCTTCTTCTTCTTCTTCTTCAGCCATAAACTTGTCCAGAGGTTTTCTCAGAAACTATTCAGCGGATCATCATGAAACTTCACACACATACTCATTAGGGTGTCTAGGTGTACAACAGGCTATTTTTATCTCGTCCGGGAGTCAAAGATGGCCACCAGAACCTTACATCCGGTTTTGGAGTTTTTGGCTCTGATTTCGTAGAAAATTGGTACATAAGGGTTTTCAGGGCTGCCAAAAACAATGGAAACAGTTTCGAACAGCTCAGTTGTCATGTCAACGAAATGGAAGCCCTGATTGGTCGAAAATGGAGGCCTCTGACTGGTTGAAATTTAGCTGTTGTCTGAT